AACACCTCATAACGTCCACGGACGATCGCGCCATCGTTTTAGGTAAAATCCCACTAGGTATCCAACCCCAAGAGCGGGTCAACCTGCTGTTGACATCTACCGGTAACTTAAGTAGTTGTTGCTGACGCCGACGACCATACTGCTGTAGATATTGCTGTAGTTGCTTCGTTGCCTATTATTGTGAAAAACATTGAAAACGCGCTGAAATTTGTCAAAAGAATGCACAGAAAGCCAGACAATATTTTACGCCAGAAGAAAATAACAGGCCGGGAAAAGACCGACATTGGCCCTTCCCGCAAAAGAGGTGCATTCCCCCCGTTCTTTTTTTTTTTCGTATCGAAATCGAGTTAAATTCCTCGCACGTCCGGGGGGCGTCATCTTTGTAGGTAGGTATAAGGAACACGTGTATGATCTGCGTTGCTCCTTCCCTCGCTCCCTCGCTGTATGTCTGACCTATCGTTGCTGTGGACGATTTTCAGGTGAGAAAAATCGTGGACGACGAACAAGTGAGTCACGTCAACCCGAACATCATCCAGCAACCGAACATCTCGGCGGAAAAGATTACCAAGATGTGGTCTGCGGCAAAGGCGAAATGGAACACGCCTAATGCCGACTGGAAGAGTGGATCCGGCAACAACCAGCCATGGCTTTCATTCGCGCAAGGTAAGAGATGGGCGACGTAGGGCTTGGTATAAAACAGCGCCTGTTTTCTCCAGGAACCTTGGGCGATTTTGTGGCCGTGGCGTCAATTGTGCCGATCCTACTTCAGCGTGTGAGTGCTGCTACGGTCGGCGTTGTGATATTGCACTTGTAGTTGTCAACAGTGTTGTAAAACGTACTCCCGGGATGACGTCCACGTTGAGGCCTGATTGAAAAGGATTGTCTGCACCATGAGCTTTTATCGTGTATTTTGAAGCAAGACCAAACACCTTACCAATTGCTCCAAACAGACCACTCCCCGCCCGCGCTTTGCGCTTTCTTTTTTTTTCACAGGGGACACGGACACGTACATTCTCGGTTGCGCAATCGAGAAATACCCCGAGCTTGACCAAGTGTGCAACAATCCCCTCCCG